AGACAGTTTCGCTGGATATATAATTCTTGGCTGGCAATTTTTTTCCTTCAAGGCTTTATATATGTCATCCCATTGCCTTCCTGCCTCCATGGGTTTCTGCAGAACAGTCTAAGCTTAGTCTTATTGACTCTCCTTTATAGATGACTTTTCATTTACCCCTAGCCACTCTTAAAATTCTCTTTACCTTTGGTTTTGGCAAGTTTGATTGTAATATGTCTTGGTAAATTTCTTTTGGGATCTACCATATGTGGGATTCAATGCACATCTTGAATAGGTATCTTCTCATCTTTCACAGTATCAGGGAAGTTTTCTGCCAACAAATTTTCAACAATTCTCTCTGTATTTTCTGTTATCCCTCCTCCTCCCCCCACCACTGCCCCGTTCTGGTATTCCAATCACTCATAGATTATTCCTCTTGATAGAGTTTCACATAATTCTTAGGGTTTCTTCATTTTTTTAAAATTCATCTGATTTTTCCTCAAATAAGTTGGTGTCCAGTGCTTTATCTTCAATCTCACTAATTCTGACTTCCATTGCTTCAATTCTGCCCCTATGACTTTCTATTGAGTTGTCTTATTCTGAAATTTTACTGTTAATTCTCTGGAGTCCTGTATGCTGTCTCAGTATGGATTATTGCAGCCTGCTAAATTTGTCATTATGCTCTTCTCTAACCTTAAGTTCCTCTATTGCTTTGTCCGTGTGTTGCTTGAATTGTTGTGCATTTTGTCTGATCTCCTTCCTGATCTCTTAAAAGAGTGCTCTATATTAATCTTTTGTATTCTACCTCCAGTAATTCCAGGATTTTCCTCTGGAAAACTTCTTGATTCTCTGTTTTGGGAGCTTGCTGAAGCCATCATGGTCTGCCTCTTTATGTGATTTGATGTTGACTATTATCTTGAGCCATCAATAAGTTATATTTATTTATTTATTGTTTGCTTACTGTGTCCTAGCTTCTTGTTTTGTTTTGATATGCCCAAATAGGCTGCTTGTGTGAGCTAGTTTGATTATTGGTGCCTCTGAAGCTATAACATCCTGTCACCAGGTGGTTAGACCTGTTACTAGGTATGTGAGCCCAGGAGTCTGTTTACTTTTCTTGTATGGATTCAGCTCAGGTGTCCAGGTAGTTGGTCACCAAGTGTGTGGTGCAGGCTCTCACCTACAGTCATAGATGGGCAGGGGTGACTGGTGTAGGCACAGGTATCTGGCTGCAGTAGGGAGTTATGCATTGTGCAAAGCAGAGGGCTGACGGCTGCCCAAATGTCTGGGAGGAAAGTGTGTCCCTGTTCCCTAGAGCATGTAGGTGGGTGGACTTTGCAGTAGGACTGTGGGCACCCAATGCTGTTGGCTGTAAGGACTGGGAGGCAGCGCTTATTCTTGGACCCCTGTCACAGGTGGCTAGGTGACGTAAGTGGAACCACCAGTCCTCAAGCCCCTGATGTGGGTGAGGATCCTGCTTAATGGGGAGAGCGGTGTCAAATGTCACAAACCTGCCACTCCACCATATAGCTGATACAGCTGAAGTTAGGCTTCAGGTGTATACCCTCTTGTACTAATGAGGGCCTATGCTGTTGAAATGCACCCACACAGGTCTATGCAGGGGTGAAAGGCATTCAAAGTCCACAGACTCCTATGTCTGTTCCTAGGCAAAGGAAATGTGCCTACCCTAAGTTCTTGGCTCAGGGTAGCTGGCAGGTTATTTATTCCTGTTTGTTAATTTGTTCCCTCTCCAAGGCTGGGAGAATGGCTCAGGGTGCATGATGGGTCCTTACTTCCAGCCCGGAGGACACAGCAATGTCTGAAGCCGGCCCAGGACCCGGTGCAGAACGGGGAGGGGGCATGTAAATGGGAGAGAGGTTTTTCCCAAACTGGGTGTTTTTTGATCCACGCAGTTAGTCACATGTACTTATCTTTTGTCAACTGAGCGCCACTTTTCACTGGTTTTGGAGGCTTGAGTAGACTCTCTCCGCTGCTCGGTATCTCCCAACGTGGAAAACACGTCCTGAGCACCACTGCTTGCCTTACTGTGTACGCCAGCTGCAGGGTACCGGTTTTCGCTGGGTCAGGTCTGGCAACTCCTCACTGCTTCTGAACCGTCTCTCCCACCCACTGCCGCTCAGTCCAATTCCTCAACTTTGCCTTTGACGTTCAGGGCTCCTAGATTTTCACATATAATCGATTCACCAGTTTTGTCGGGTCTTTGTTGTAAGAGAGACCACAAAAAGTTCCTGACTACTCTGCCATCTTGGCCCTGCCCCCAAATGATGTCCTTTTCCAGGGACTGGTCCCTCCTGATAACATGTCCAAAGTATGTGAGACGAAGTCTTGCCATCCTTGCCTCTAAGGAGCATTCTGGCTATATTTCTTCCAAGACAGATTTGTTCATTCTTTTCGCAGCCCGTGGTATATTCAATATTCTTTGCCAACACTGTAATTCAAAGGCATCAACGCTTGTTCGGTCTTCCTTACTCATTGTCCAGCTTTCATGTGCATATGAGGCAACTGAAAACACCATGGCTTGGGTCAGGCACACCTTAGTCCTTAAAGTGATATCTTTGCTTTTTAACACTTTAAATAGGTCTTTTGCAGATTTTCCCCATGCAATACGTCATTCGATTTCTTGACTGCTGCTTCTGTGGGCACTGATTGTGGATCCAAGTAAAATAAAATCCTTGACCACTTCAATCTTTTCTCCATTTATCAAGATGTCACTTATTGGTCTACTTGTGAGGATTTTTGTTTTATGTTGAGGTATAATCCACAGTGAAGGTTGTAGTCTTTGACCTTCATCATAAATGCTTCAAGTCCTAACGTAGTTTTTAAAACTCCTACTCCTTCTCCAAAGACCTGACCTCAAATGCCATTTACCCTGAGGCCCCCAAAATGCTCCTCCCCCTTCCCCAGAGCCAGCTGTCCTCAGGGAGCCTGCAGATGGTTGACTAAGGGATTCCCTCTGCAGGCTGGAGGCACCTCAGAGGTTCAAACCAGATGGCCCACCCTTAAGGATCCTGTATTTTAACAAGTTTCAGGGTGAGAAATTGTTAAGGGTTCTGAGACACTTTGTTGATTTCTAAGAAGCTTTGTGCCCATAGTATTCAACCCCAGGGCTGGTTTGGACACATTCCTCTCCAGCCGAAAATGATCTTATTTTGAAATCTTGGCTGAGTTCACACCAGAGTACAGTCCAAAATAGTTACCTTCTAGCACCAAGTAAGGAAAAAAATTTCAACCTAGCTTTTTCTCGAGGGGAACTGAGCTCCATTTTGTGTTCTGTGAACTTCTACCTCACTCTACACCTCCCTTTTTCCACGGCAGTCCCAGGTCACAAGGGGATCACTTTAAAGTATGTTCATTCACTCCCCATCGGCACCCATCCTCTGGTCGAAACACTTCTCCCTTAGCTTCAATGTCACCACACTCTCTTGGTTTTTTTCCTACCTTTCCAGCCACTCCTCTGTCTCCTTGATCGTTTTCTCCTCTCCCCAAACTTTAAACGTTGACGTGACTGAGATCCCAGGTCCATGTCTTTCTCTACATTCTTAGGTGAGCTCACTCGCTACCATGACTCCCAGAGCACAGAAATAACTTGACACATCCAGAACAAAACTCACACTCTTACCCTCCACACCTGTCCCTCTCCCTTTCTTCCCCAGATCCAAACAGCCCACCAGTCCCTCAACTGCCACAGTAGAACCTATGAGTCATCATGGTTTCCTCTTCCCTTTATCATTCACCAAATATATGGGTTCCACATCCTAAAGAGATGACAGACTCTATTTCTCTCCACCTCCCTGCTATGAACACAGGCCAGCCTACACTTACACATAGCCAGGGCCTCTCAACTGGTCCACTCCAACTCTCCACCTCCAATCATCACGTAGTAACCAAACTGATCTTTCTAAAAACAAACCTGGAACTGCTGCACTCTTGCTTAAATTCCTTTTAATGGCTGCTTCTCACTGCTCCTTTGGTAAAGTCCCAGACCCTCAGTCTAACCCTGAGGTCAGGCCTGACAGGGTCCTCCCTGCTCTCCAGATCCACCACTACCTGTCTTCAGGTCATCCAGGTGCCAAGTCCTCTCCCACACCCCTCACTCAACCCTGAGGGCACTCAGACATGCTCTTTCTACTCACTAAACACCCTCCTCCCACCACTCACGGCCTCTTCTCTCCAGCTCTAGCCTCCATTTTTTAGGTGTGAGGGGTGCACAGACCTCACCAGAACCAGCTAGGCAGTTATCTGAGCCACAGGGCCACAAAGAGAATCAGCTGAGTGTATGTTTAACTTACACGGTGTATTCATTACCAAAATCTTTAAAAATCAGAATATTCTAAATTCATTAGGCCTTGCTTCCAACACAGCAATAATTGTCAGCTGAGGCCGAGTAGCAGCCACTCCCAACATCAGGCTAAGTGTCAGCTGCCATTGAACAACCAGCTTACACTGATGCTTTTTATACACTCACCTGCTTCACTACCTGCCTGCGCCCTGTAGATGTCTGATTTGTGGCTTCTATGTAGACGGTTAGAGCAACACATTTCCTCAAAAGGAAAAAGTGCTCAAAGCACATTCCACAGAATCATCATCATATAGGAAAGACACTGATATTATTATTGCCAGCTGTGGTCTCCACCCATAGTCAGGGAAGCCTCAAATATTCTCCCCCGGTAAAACAACTAACTCCCCATAGTGACACCCCGCTGCCTGATTTCAAGTTGCAGATCTAGAGGGTTATCTCCGAATCCAACTCTTGGTTCCTGCCACCTGACGGTTTCATTCTCAGAAACAGGTCGGCTTTTCTTTGAAGTGCTTTGAGGTTTCACTTCTTTTCATATTATGATACTTGCCTTAACCCCTCAACAGAAATCCTTCATTCAACCGGTTACTCCCATAAAGGGGGCATGCACTCCAATCTCACAACTCCACAAAGCTCAGCTTTGCAGATGACCTACGAACGGAAGTATGGAATGATGCATGACTCGGACCATGATGATGGGACCTACTTCATCAATGCCTTCCTCCTCATGAAAGGTACGAGACAGGAAGAGGCAGGTCATGGTGTCTTCCTTCTTGGTGAAGAGGATAAAATCCTTCCCAATGCGCATTGAGCCCCTGAAAGGGAAGCAGAAACAGGTTATTCTCCCAGGGATTCAAAAGCTCATCTGAAAAGGTAAAAACCACCCTCTGGATGTGACTAGAAAATGCCTTTGGAGGGCTATCCTAAAGGCCTCCCTAAAGTCCCAGAATCTTTGGCTGAGTTCCAAAGCCCTATTCCCTCCCTACTTATCTGACTCATCTGTATGCTGAGCAAATAATCAGAGAAGTTGGACTATATGAAGAAGAACATGGCATCAGGATTTGAGGAAGACTCATTAACAACCTGTGATATGCAGATAACACAACCTCGCTTGCTGAAAAGTAAAGAGGACTTGAAGTACTTATTGATGAAGATCAAAGACTATAGCCTTCAGCAGGAATTATACCCTAACATAAAGCAAACAGAAATCCTCACAAACGGATCAATAAGCAACATCATGATAAGTGGAAAAAGGATCGAAGTTGTCAGGGATTTTATTTTACTTGGATCCACAATCAACACCCATGGAAGCAGCAGTCAAGAAATCCAAAGACATACTGCATTGGGAAAATCTGCTACAAAAGATCTCTTTAAAGTGTTAAAAAGCAAACATGTCACTTTAAGGACTGAGGTGTGCCTCACCAAAGTCATGGTGTTTTCAATCGTCTCATATGCATGGGAAAGCTGGACAATGAAGAAAGAAGACGGAAGAACTGATGCCTTTGAATTATGGTGTTGGCAAAGAATACTAAGTATACCATGGGCTGCCAAAAGAATGAACAAATCTGTCTTAGAAGAAGTACAGCCAGAATGCTCCTTAGAAGCAAGGATGGCAAGACTTCATCTCACATACTTTGGACATGTTATCAGGAGGGACTAGCCCCTGGAGAAGAACATCATGCTTTGTAAAGTAGAGGGTCAGCGAAAAAGAAGAAGACCCTCAACAAGATGGATTAACACAGTGGCTGCAACAATGGGCTCAAGGATAACAATGACTGTGAGGATGGCGAAGGACCGGACAGTGTTTCGTTCTGCTGTACATGGGGTTGCTATGAGTGAGAACCGACTTGATGGCACCTAACAACAACATAATTGTCTCAGGAGCCCTGGTTGTGCAGTGGTTAAGCACTCGGCTGCTAACCAAAAGGTCGGTGGTTCAAACCCACCAGCCGATCCGCAAAAAAAAGATACGACGATCTGCTTCTGTAAAGATTACAGCCTTGGAAACCCTATGTGGTAGTTCTACTCTGTCATATGGGGTTGCTGTGAGTCGGAATCTACTCAACGGCACATAACACAACAAACTGGCTCACATCTAATAACTATAGCCATCTTCAGTCTCAACTGTTTTTGCCACCTCAAGCTCCTTATGACACAGGCATTTGGATGCAACCAGTTTCTGGAAACTGTGCCTTGAGGCTGCCTTCCACAAGGCAAAACCCTGATGGAATCAACTGCTTCTTTACTGTTTGGCCAGGTAAACCAGTAAACTATCTTAACAGCACGCAAGGACAGGCCTCTCCCAGGCAGCACAGAGCAGGGCAGATGTGTGAAGCCCTACTGGGAAGTCTGCCTACTCAACAAGGAAGCTGTTGAGCTCCTTTCTTCCAAGCAGCTTCTGGCGCTTTATGGCTTATTATCTCATTAGTCCCCATAATGCCCCAGGGAGATGATGGAAGAGGGAAGCTGTATTATCCTTTTCTACGTATTAATACAAACCCGACCGGCATGTCAAGCACACAGATGAATATCATGCCCCATTTCCACAAATGCTCAGGAAAACTCCCAGGACACTATCCAGAAATACCCAAGGGGTGGCCAAGTCCTGTTTCTCCTTCTAGCAAAGCTTGTTTTTGCCCTAATTTGGCAAAAACTCTCACTTTATGCCTTTTTCCCTCTGTCTTTGATCCTGATCTCAGGGCACAAATAGAAAGAACCCAAAAACAACGCTTTTCTGCTGGCTTCCCTGCTTTTCTGCCCTATTCTCACCACAAAGCACTTCCTCCTGGAACCCTTTCTTCACTTTTGAATTGGTTTCAGGATGAGTATACTGTCTACTCTAAACACTAGATGGCTCCATCTCTCAATGGGCCCTTTACAAAAATTGATCTAAAATATACTAACACTTCCAACTTCGGTACACTTTCCTTTCCAGTCTTCCAAGACTTTCAGTCATTTTTTACTTGCTCCTGAAACTAATAACTCTGTAAGGGAGAATGTCACAGATTAGAACCCCCTTTTTTTAGATGAGGGGCCCTGGTGGTGCAGTGGTTAAGCATTTGACTGCTATCCAAAAGGTCAGCAGTTTGAATCCACCAGCTGCTCCTTGGGGTCACTATGAAGAAACAGACACTCACAGAGGTGAAATGACTTGCCTGAGGCCACAGAACTGAGAAAACCAGGTAGCCTACAATCCAGGTAGAAAGTAGTGTTTCTTACATCACACTGACTCTACCAGATCTCAGTTAGTGAGGATTTGGATCACCTGTGTCAGAATCACCTGGGGAAGCTGGGAAGAACACAAATTCCTAGGCCCTATACCAGACACATGGAATTAGGCCAGGAGTCAGCTATGGGAAGATGAAAGGAGAAATCAAATTAGAAGCCAGAAACTGTGCTAGGGGCTTCATCCTTTAACCTATCTGGTATGTATTATAATCCCAAACTTACAAAGGAAGAAGCTAAGGCTCAGAGGATGAGGTGTAATTAAGTGACTGAGATGGAATCTGAACCTTAGTTTGTCTGATTCAAGTGAAATGGACAGCACCTTGGGCTATGAAGTCAGGAAGAACTAGCTGGTGTCTCAGGCTCTACATTTATGCATTTTTACATATAAATTTCACTCCTATAAACCTATTTCTTCATTTGAAAACAAGAATAATAGCACTTACACCTTAGAGGGCTATTGGTCATTGCTGTAAGCTGCTGTCAAGTCACACCTGACTCATGGTGACACCAAGTACAACAGAACTAAACAATCAGTTGTGGATTGACCATTGTGATCCACAGGGTTTTCATTGGCTGATTTTCCAAAGTAGATTGCCACGCTGTTCTTCCTAGTCCATCTTAGTCTAGAAGCTCCAGTGAAATCTATTCAGCATCATAGCAACACACAAGCCTCCACTGACAAATGTTTGGTGGCCTCATGTGAGGTGCACTGGCAGGAATCAAACCGAGGTCTCATGCACAGAAGGCAAGAACTCTACCACTGAACCACCAAGGTCCCCCAAAGGGCTATTACTGTTGTTAGATGCCCTCAAGTCGATTTTGACTCATAGCAATCCTATGTGACAGAGCAGAACTGCCCAGTAGGGTTTTCTAGGCTGTAACCTTTACAGAGCAGATAGCCAAATCTTTCTCTCTGGGAGCAACTGGGTGAGTTCAAACCACCAATCTTTCGGTTAGCTGCCAAGTGCTTAACCATCGCACCGCCAAGGCTCCTGCCATAAGGCTATAGTGAGGATTAAATGAGATCATCCATGTCAAGCTTTTAGCACAGTGCCTAGTACAGAGTGTTTATTATTTGAGTTGGTTCCTGCCCTGAGAGAAAATCGCGAAGTCCAAGCACCAGGTCCTGATTTCTTCAGAAGCACTCCCTTTTCTTTTCCACACACCCACAATCATCAAGCACTCTGCACGTGTGGCACAAGTGATGCTGCTGACCAAACCACCACCATCTCAAACAAAACATGTTTCCAGAGCAAGACTAGACACATGACTCATAATTCCATTTGCACAAAACTCCAATTCCACTACATTTTACTCCATCCAAAGGTATGTACAGCTGGAAGTGAGCATTTCAGAAATAGAAACCTTTCTCTTGGGGCTTCACTCAAAACCAGAACAACACATTCCAAACACTAAGCAAGTGGGAACCAAGGGCTGAGAAGAAGTCCCAAGGGATCTGAAGACATTAGGTAGGCGCCTATTACAGGGCCGTGCATGACATCTACATGGAGACCATGTCCTCATGGAAGGAGGGCTCGCGTCTCCCTTAGTCACCATGGGATCCCCAGCGCCTGGCCCAAAGCGGGACATGAGACAGGTACTGAGTGAGACTGCTATGTAGAATGATGCACGCCCCCTCACCATCCCAGATACATTCCAACCCCGCAAAGAGTCACTCATACCCTTCACCACTGGATAAAAACAAGAATTTTCAACAAGAGAAGGAACATAGTTCTACAGGTCAGTGCCAAAAGAAACCTGAAGCCCCTCCCTCTCCAACTGGTTTTGGACATTCATACTTTTCAATATGTAGAGCAAACTCTGCTGGAAAACAGTTGGTATGTTAGTCCCAAACAACAACTCCTTTCTGGCTTTCCTCCTGTTCCACAATTATAGACACGGAGAGAGACAAAGAGGAATGTACTTCTCATCTGAGAGAAGGAGAAATTGCTTGATTTTTGTTTTGAGTCTTATAAGAGGCTTCTATTATACCTACGATTTTAACCCATTCCCGTACTGCCCAATCTGGGTGGACTCTGGTGTTCGCTTAGCCGATTTCCCAAACTGGATCACACTGGCAGCATCACCTGAAGTGGCAGACACAAGAGAAAGCAAAAGGTTTGCACTTCTTTCTGAGGCTCTTCAGATTTATAGTCTTGCAGGGCTGTGTCTCTACTGAAAACCTCTTTCCAAGGAAATTCACATCCATGAGGCAAACGGAAGCAACCTTTGCCTGGTCTATCAGTATCTGATCACTGTGATCTGTGATTCTGCTACCTGACTATGGTAATAAGGCTGGGGGAGGCCTCCATAGTTGCAGCTCCAGGATGTTGTCCAAGCTGGTAAATACAATGTCAAGAGATACGTAATCTGACTGACTTCAGGTTGTCATTCAGATTCTATCGCCCACACTAGGGCAAGACCCGGCAAATACACTAGTGGAATTAAGTCTGAAATGTTGGCAACAGGCTTCTCTCTCCCCAGGTGGATCTTCTAATCACAACAGTGAGGCAACAGAGAAAACATGTGTACACCATAGGATGGTAATATATATTTTTTTGTTTAAATAGTTACATCGTCCCCTAAAAAGCATAACCATCACATTACTTACTCGGATCCATTCCCGCTCCATCATCCAAAAAGCAAAGCATGAATCCTCCTCGAAGGTCCTCTCTCCTTTCTGTAAAAGAAGCCATCTGCCATTATTGGGTAGTACCAATCTGAGGGTGATAATAAGGTATAATCAGAAGGTGGATCAATGTGAAACTTGGTCCAAAAAGGCCATATGAAATCTAGCTTCTCCTTTAAACAGTCCTGGCTAGTGTGAGTTAAACTTCAAGGCCCTTGAGGGTCGAGTTCCCCATCAAATGTTCTCCAGTGTTCTCTAGTTCATAACAAATCTTGAAAGACTCTATAAGGGCAGGGAATACCTGGTCCAGCAATTATACCCAAAACCACTGACTATGGACGTATTTCACACATAACCCCAATCATCCTTCTACCTCTATCCCCCTGCGTTACTACCGCCTCTGCCCTCTGCCATGGACACCCAATCCACTCAAATACTCAAACTACTATACTATACTTTACCAAAACCACTCAAACTCAAGAGGGACCTCCTCTTTGAGTAAGTCTGGGGTAGCCTTCAGAGCAAAGTGATCAAGCCATACACAGTAGAAGCACAGTGGTGGCAGCTGCTATGTAAAGGATAAATGTCTATGTCCGTATGTGACTATCCCCAGGCCAACTGCAGTTTTCTGGGCTACCTGTATTCATCACTGTATCCCCTGCTTGCTATGGGTCCTTGAAATGGCTCCTCAACCCAGGAGTGAGATGATGGCACAGGATGCAGTGACAACTGCCTGGTTCCCAGCTGCACGTGCCTGACTGGAAGGAGGCATAGTCCTTTGACAATAAGATATGGAGCGGCTGTGGCAGGGCTCCCTAGCCTACAGGAAGGGACCACAACAGACTGTGGCTGTCATTCCAGTCAGCAGAAAAACATCATCTTTCTGCAGCTGTCTTCTACAGCACCAAGCAGTCAAAGTAATCTGAGTCCAAGCATGTCATGGACATTGGAGAAGAGATTCCCAAATAGTGCAGGGGGCTATACACTAGATGGTCTCCAACATGCCTTCGGCCCAATGATGAGGACTAGGAGCCCTAGTAGCACAGTGGTTAAGAGCTCCACTGCTAACCAAGAGGTCAGCAGTTCGAATCCACCAGCTGCCCCTTGGAAACCCTACGCGGCAGTTCTACTCTACCCTATAGTCACTAAGAGTCAGAATCCACTAGACAACAATAGTTTTGGGTTTTTTTGGACAAAGAGAACTACACTACCCTTGGAATCAGTAGAGTATAGACATGAAGGAGAAGAGGCAGAGATGGAGGCAAGGGGACCCACCACTGCAGCCCCACGCAAGCCAACCAAGGAACCACTAACACCAGCATCCACTGCTTTGCACAGGGATAAAAATAGCACTTTTACTAAAATGAAGGAGATCTGTGTAAGGTACTGTAGGAACAAGCTCAAGGCTGCTTTGGGGCCTGTTCCCTAACTGAGGATGTTTTTGAAATCTCCCAAATTGCAGTTCACCAACTTTGTACAACTAAGCTCTCTGTCCTCCCCTCAGGCTAAAGATTCAAGTGAGTCGTCACTGCCTCCAGTTAATGGAGTAGTTAATGTAATTTAAAACACTATTTCTGAAGAACTAGAAACCACAGAGATTTTCAAATATCACTCAATGTTCAGAAGCTGAACTTTGCTGAAACATTAACAAGTGGTTCTTGAAAGTTCAAGGGTAAGCATCCTCCTGAAAGTACTACTGGCAGATAAGAAAAAAGTCTCCTTATGACAGTGCCTCTTAATCAGAGTCTGGAGAATTTAAATGAGATATGGCAAGCAGAAGTAAGTATAAAGGCATCAAAGTTTCCTTCTGAAGGAAGCAAAGTGTCATATGGAGATTCAAACTGGGTCACACACAGAGCATAGTATAAGTATTCTAAACCTAGCTGAGATCCATTTGTTGTATGCTACATTCATAGAATGTGCATGATGGCTCTGCTTTGGGATCTAGAAACTGACTTGAGCCAAGAGCATCTGAAAAACCATGAAGGATTACTGGCATTTCTTGAACACTACCTAGAAAGTTGCTTCTTATGTTAGGATAGGACTCGCAGGATCTTTTAGCACATGATCATCACTTTATGGTGGGTCTGAGATCTCTTTCCAGCTCAAGGACTTTATTTCAAAGCTTTTTCATGTGGGTTATGAGTAAGAGAACCATGCAAAGATATTTCTTCACCTGAGGGAGGCGGAATCTTTGTAGTCACATAGCGACTGACATCTTGAAAAGGGATAGAAGTGTCCAGGTCCGTGGTCCCATGTAACCCCACCTCAGGACCAAAACAGATGGGCTGGCACAGCAGTAACTTCTTCAATTTTATATAAACAGACAGTAGAGTCTCTTCATCTGGCTACAATGCTTATCCCAATCACCATTTAGTCAATGAATGCTTATTGAGCCCCTCCTGTGTGCCAGGCTCTGAGATGGACACAGTGGGCAATGCAGATGTGATGCTGTCCTCATGGAGCTCATTCTAATGGATCCGTAGTCTACTCTCTGTAGGAGATCAGGTAAGAAGTAAAGGACAGGAGGGTTTAAGTTGAAGGAGGCCGAGAAAAGTATCAGCTAGAGTAAAATGCAGTGTGCATAAGAGTCACCTGAAGACGTTCTTAAAATACAGATACCTGGGCTCCACACTCAGATTCAGACTGCATAGCAGTTCTACTCTGTCCTATAGGGTCACTATGAGTCAGAATCAATTCAACAGCAATGTTATTTTTCTTTTGAGGTGGAGCCCAAGAATCTACATTTCTAACAAACTCCTAGGTGATGCTAATGATCTACAGACCACCCAGTGAGAAGCACTGAGTTGGAGCAGCCAAGAAGTACAAGCAGACTTCCCTACTCAAACCTATCTTCCCAGACATTCCACCAGCGCAAAGAGATTCATTCCTAACACTTGATATTCACTTTATCAGCCACCAGAATGATATCTGAAGCCTCCAAGGAAAGGATTTCAATGAAGGAGGGGGAACTCTAGACTGAGGAGAGTCTAGGTAGCTGGGGGTCCAGTGCTCTCCCCGCCTCCCACCATACATCTTGAAAGCAAGAAAGGGAGGGCAAAGCCAAACAGCCTTCCTTGCGGTTACGCTTTAAATCCTGATATCAGCTAAGCAGAGGAGCCCTGGTGGCGCAGTGGTTAAGCACTTGGCTGCTAACCAAAAGGTCAGCTGATCGAACCCACCAGCAGCTCCATGGGAGAAAGATGTGAGTCTGCTTCTGTAAAGATTTACGGCCTTGGAAACCCTATCGTGCAGTTCTACCCTGTCCTGTAGGGTCGCTATGAATCAGAATCGACTTGATGGCAATGGGTTTGGTTTTTTTTTTGTTTGTTTGTTTTACCAGCTATACTAGACCATCAAAACCAGTTTGTAGGGCTGCACATCTAAGCTTTCCCCAATTTGGTCAGCTCTGACTTCTCCACTTTAGCGTAACTTTCTTCCACCCAACTCCCACTGGGGAGAAAACAGAAAAAAGAAATGTGCAAAAAGAGACCCAACCAATGCACTGCCATCAAGTTGATTCTGACTCATAGTGACCCTATAAGACAGAGCAGAACTGCCTAGAGGGTTTCAAAGGCTGTAAATCTTTATGGAAGCAGACTGCTGCATTTTTCTCCCAGGGAGCGGCTGGTGGGTTCCAACCACCGACCTTTAGGTTAGCAGTCAATTGCTTAACCACTCAGGGTCCTCGGGAAAAGAGAAGAGACATAAAATGGAGCTATCAATCAAAAGTTAGAGGTGCCAAAATAAGTGTCCTTAGCAGAGGCTATAATAAAATGGCATCCAAGTTTTTCATCAAACTCTGCAAAAGTCTGAGCAGTATTAATTTCAGTTACATTTCCTCTGACTAATTTTCCATTTACTAACCACTGCTTTAGTTTCACAAAAGGGATCTTTCTTCCAGGAGGTGGAACTACCTATCCCAGGAAGTTGAGAATCAACAGAGAATCTACAGTCAATAGAAAGGCCCCACCTAATAACAATGCTTTGTGTAAACAAACACCTCATAATGAGTCCACCCACAGATGCCTCGGAAGAAAAGACCTGGCGATCCGCTTCTGAAAAGCCAGTCATTGAAAACCCTATGGAGCATAGTTCTACTCTGATACAAACGGGGGAAAAAAATTGAGAGGCTGGATCCTTTCTCACTCTTCTTAGGTTTAAAAACAGTCTTTGAAAATGTGACTTTGTAGTGACTTCAAAACTAGATCTGATATTTGGGGAGATTTCCAAGGTAAGTATCAATCTAGTTTGAGAATGGGAGATAGAAAAATATTTCCCCCCATGTATTGACAACCAGAACTTTGTGGTATTAAGATATTACTAATTCCATTATTCTACTTGTAAAAAGAGAGAGCTTTTATAACTGTTGTTGAATGTGTCAGTAAGGCACAGAGCTAGGAAACTATAAAGTCTAAAGTCAAAAAAGCCTAAGCCAAGACTCCCAAGCTCCAAGGTCTAGATGTAAATCAAGTCTTTTTCCAAACTGCTGTGGTGCTTAGTGCTTCTATCACACTATTTAATCCTTAACTGCCTTGACTGTTCCCTTAAGATCTAGTTACTGCTCTCTAATTATCTCTAGAATGCTAAGTGTCTCTCCAATTAGAGACTTCAAGTTCTCTGAGTGAACGCCCCGTCTGACTCCTCTAGGATTTCTCCCAAAGCATCAGGGCATAGCACTGAGCACAGAATAAATACACACTGGGTCTTTTTCTCTTAAATTAAAATCCAACTGTTTTGCTGCTTTCTGAGTATCAAGGACTAAATTTTCTCTCTGAAATTTGCCCACCAAAGGGCAAACTGGGAAGAAATGATCTTTTAAAAAAACAACTTCTGAGTAGACTCAAATATCATGTTTTGTCCCTTTGATGTCCCTTGGAGCAGAGGCCCATTTTCTGGTTTGCAATCCGTACACTCGTTAATTAAGATGGTCACCATTTCTTTCAGAAGGAGCTGCTCTCACCAGTCACTAAAGTACACTAAGATGTAAGATACAAACTGTGGCTTTGGAGAGGTGTCTCCAACTGGCCCAATGTTTTAGTGATCATCTTATAACATTGTTCTGCTGTGTTCCTTTTTTGTTTCTTTCTTCTAAAAATAAACGGAGCCTTATTTACAGCACTTTGGCAGAGCCTTTCAAACAGAAGCCTTTCCGAATTTAAGCAGTGTAGCTCACTTTTAGCTGTTCTGAATATCTTCTTTGCTCCAAAGTATATCAGGTGGGGGAAATTCATCAGATCTGGGGAGTCTTCGTAATCATGTATGACATTACAGCATCTGAGAATTACTCCTTAATCGCGTACTTATTCACATTTATCAAATGGGTCCATGAAGAAGAGGGATTATTTGACTGATAACTGCATATTCCCACATTATCCTCTCAGAAGCTAGTCAATGTTGTTCAAAATATTACCTGAAACCTTTCAGAAGGCTTCAGAAAAGTTTAACAGAAAAATAGATTATCTTAGCCAAACTGAATTTAAAAGCTGTCTTCTTCTGTCCCGCTTCCACATTTTTATCATTCAAATGACTAAAAAAGGTGCTGGTAGAAATATTCAACAGATAGAACACCAACAATTTAAAAAATAAAAAAAAAGTCCAATGATAATGACTAAGATTTCCTCCATTGTTGTACCCACTCTAGGAAAAAAAGGATCTTACTGTAAAACAAGGGAGTCAAATAAGCAAAACAGTAGACTGTCAGTATCTTTAAATTCCAAGCAAAGCAGCCCTCCTCCCTTACTTGACATGGAACTACCTCTGCCTGAGAACACCTTCTCTGCAAACCTCGAAGCCAACCCAGACACCTAGCTGTTTGCTGCAACTGCCTCCAACAACTCTCCAAGTTAAGACTGGTCCTCACCAAGGTTTCCGGAGACTGGCCTCCAACAAGCTCGCCTTGGCTGCAGATACCACAAACCTGGTCACCTGCTAACTTCTACCAAGAAAATAACTGGTGCTTGACATTTCACTCCCTACTACTCTACTCCATCACCCTCATAAACCTACCAGTGACAATTTAGATAGATCTGGATACTCCGTATTGTTTCTTTATACCAGTATTCTAAATGCCGGACCAGGGTTTCTCTGTTTCTACCTATGACCTGGAGCAACGGTGCCTCTTCCCCGGCTCCAGAAACCAGTATTTCCCACTCATTTCTTCTTAGACACAGCAATCAATGCATTGAAAGAACTGGGCATTAGAAAAAAGGACTGAATTCTGACTTACCTGCATAAATATCTATTCTGGTGGCATCAGCATCTCTGCAAAAATTTCAAAAAAAAATCAAGATGCAAATGAGAATGAATATGAAATACCATCAAAATGGGTAGTACTTACTCTGTTTTCAGGAAGCCACATGGAAATTCTATGTACACCTAACAACACAACTTTCCTCACGTATCTGTGAAACACTTCTGGAGCTTCAAATTATTTAAGATAATCATATAACACATAGGACCTGGATATGTATATATTTTTTAATGCTGATCTCATGGTGAAGATATTTGGAGAATGAGTAAGAACATTTTCCTTTACACACTGTTATGGACTTAATTGTGTCCCCCCAAAATACGTTATCAACTTGGTGAGACCAAGATTCCCAGTACTGGGTGACTGTCCACCACTTTGTCGTCTAATGTGATTTTCCTATGTGTTGTAAATCCTATCTCTACGATATTAATGAGGCAGGATTAGAGGCAGTTATGTTAATGAGGCAGGACTCAATCTACAAGTTTACACTGCATCTTGAGTCAATCTCTTTTGCGATACAAAAGAAAGAAGCGAGCAGAAAGACAGGGGGACCTCATACCACCAAGAAAGTAGCACCAAGAGCAGAGCGCATCCTTTGGACCCGGGGTCTCTGCGCAGAGAAGCTCCTAGACCAAAGAAAGATTGATGACAAGGACCTTCCCCCAGAGCCAATAGAGAAAGCCTGCCTCTGGGGCTGGCACCCTGAATTTGGACTTTTAGCTTACTAGACTGTGACAGAATAAACGTGTTTGTTAAAGTCATCCACTTGTATTTCTGTTATAGCAGAAGTAGATAACTAAGACACATACTAAGAAATTACTCAAATATGTGTTTCTCTCACTTAATTTCCATCATAAAATGATGTTACAATAACTTGTCCACTTTTCTTTCTCACCAAGATATTACGAACAACAAAAAAGAATACTCTGCCACAAAGCTTGTGAGAAAAGCTGTCTCGTGGTATACACACTGTGTCAGCAGACTGATCCATGAACCCATAATCTTATCCCCCCCAACCTTGAAAGAAAGTCAGGGCACCTCATTTGGACTCCAGTTATCAGCTGAAATCACACAAGTTGTCATCAATGAAGTCATCCATAAAGGCCTGGAAGTAATCTAGTTCAACTGTGCCAATTGCAGGCAAGAAAAATGAGGCACAAGTGCATTTTCATTGGTTTTAAATGCAAAAAGTCCACTCTAAATCCATACAGCTCTACATGTACCTATTCCCAAGATATAAAAACATTTTCAGATATGAGAGATTGCCATCTGTGACTAAGAAACGGATAGCTTGGCAAAAAGTGTGGGTGAGAGTCCCAGGAATCTTCCAGTTCACCATGATACACAAAAAACCAGCCTACCACAGCACATCACAGTCTTGCTAAGCTGACAAGTGGCAAATTCTAACGTTTTTCCATTAAGCTACAACATTTTTTAATTAAATGTAAAAGTATCAGTCAACCAGGATTGAAACAAAATAAGAGTTTTCTGGTTAAACACCTTGTTAACCGACACACTTCCATGAAAAGTCCACTTAACAATAACAATAAAATAGTATAGTCTATACAAACACAGGTGGAGACTGGAAATTATCAGCAAGCTCATTAACTGGGAATCTGTTTAAAAGTACTTCTCCTAACAACTCTTATCCTCTTCTTCCTTTATTAGTCATCAACACCTGGTCAATAAACAATGTGTCTGAATTTTGACTGCATTCAAGAACAAGACTGAGAATAAGGCTGAGACAGTATTTTCATAAAATCAACAGAATCCTGATCTGGACTTTGCTATTTGTCTCTGAACCAACCCAAACTTCTATTCAATCTTGCACAGTAACATTTATATGCTTCTATCACTAAGAACTCAGTATAAGACAGCGCTGAAGAGTGATTCCTTTCAAGTTCAGCTGCTAACAATGAAGATGCTTTGATCAATTAAAGTCATCTGACAATAAAATATACATTTTGGGAGGACACGGAGCTCCAACACAATTTGAAAGACGTTAGATGGTGTACTCTCAAGGTAGCACAAATTACTAAATCAGAGCTTGTCTGTCCCATTAATTTGATTCCTGAGTTTCTATCTTAATTCCCTACATCCCACTACAGTTACCTTGCTCTGATACACAAGGGAAAGTAGCTTTGGAGGTCATAAGTTTACTACTCTCAGGCTAGAACACAAAGAGCAATGAACGAATTTAAGTTAATCAAGTTTCCAAGTGGAAGTATCAACTAATGGGCTATTAAAAATGCTTTTTGGTTAAGAGGTTAAACTTTCAGGAGTTGTAGCTGCTACAGAAATGCCTTCCTCTCAAGTCTTCAGAGAGCAAAGGTCACAACAACCCAAAAAGTTTGCATTACAAGCACACACTATATTATATCTAAGGAATACATACCTTGCATTATCAACCAGTTCAGCAAGAGCACCAAACAAGAATTCATGAGTAGTTCTGAAATGATAAACACTGAGTCACCCAAAGAATTATCAAATCATGACTTCTAATAAAAAGTCAAGATTATAAAAGTAGAAAAAAATCCAAAATCACCATCTGCATTACTGATTTATACTACTACAATTTAAATGTCTTCACAATTCAAGCCTTTCCAGAACTCACTAACCCCCCTCAAGTGTTAATCTTATCAAGTCCTGCTATCTACTCAGAAATGTTGATTCTTCCTATTTTGGGTTGAGAAACCCACCGTAAAACATTAAAATATTCCTGTGTACCAACTGCTAAAAGCAGTGTTTTTCACTGTAGTTCATGTTCTGCCTAAAAAATGCATTTTATTTTTCTTTGCCTTAACCAGCCAGGTTTGTCAGTTTCTGCATATCTCTGCACACACTCAATGTACAATTTATCATTTTGCTTTACCAATCTCCATGTGTGATCTACTGGTGAAATACACTTCTGTGCAATTTATAAACAAAAAATATATATTTCTGTATTAGCTCAAGAGACAGAAAGGGCTACATAAACCAGAGACTCCATCATTCTGAGCCCAGAAGAACTAGATGATGCCCAGCTACCATCAATGACTGCCCTGACAGGGAGCACAACAGAGTCCCTGACAGGGCAGGAGAAAAGTGGGGTACAGAACTCAAATTCTAGTAAAAAGGCCAGGCTTAATGGTCGGACTGAGACTGGAAGGACCCCAAAAGACATGGCCCCCAGACTCTCTGTTGGCCCAAAACTAAAACCATTCCCAGGGCCAACTCTACAAAGATCAGACTGGACTATAAGACACAAAATGATACTTGTGAAGTATGTGCTAAAGTAGATACATGAGACTAAACGTGCAGCTCCTGTCTGGAGGTGAGATGAGACGGCAAAAAGGGACAGGAGCTGGATGAAAGGACATGAGAAACCCAGGGTGGAAAGGAGGAATGTCCTGTCACATTATAGGGAGAGCAGTTAGGGTCACACAGCAATGTGTGTATACATTTTTGTATGAGAAACTGACTTGAACTGTACACTTTCACTTAAAACACAATAAAATACATATATATGTATATATGTATTTCTCATTTTAAATAAGAGAGGGAAGGAAAGAATAACCTATTTCTTGATTTCTCCTTGCCAGTAGTTTGTATAAATAGATTACGTCTAAAAAGGTAACTTTCTCCACATTAAAGAAAGGAATCCCAGCCCCTCTTGAGCAATTCCTCATAGAAGGACAAGAGCTTGGTATGGTCTTCCAGGGTCACTATTAAAGCTAACCCCTTTGAGCAGGGCAATTGGTAGTCATCTCCTCCTCTGGGAGGCTGCTCAAAGTCTGAGTTGGGTAAATATACAATTACCATGTTACTCAGGACTCAACAAAGGTATTTAACGTGTAAGATGTGTCCTTACAATTCTTCCTCCGTCTACACTCTCTTTATGTTATTTCCCATACTAACCCTCATCAGATATAAAAGTAGGATGTGTCCTCATAGAACCACCAAGAAAACCAGCTTGACTTTTGGTGAGCAAAAGCATAAAATCATTAACCCACATGTTAGTCATCAATTTTTCAAAAAATACTCATGATTTTCTGCATACTAAGCTTCAGCCAATGGATAAAGTAACAACTTCAAAAAGTTAGAATGAAAACATAGCAATATTAAATAAGCAGTAGCCTTATTAGGGTCTATGATCACTTACCATATTGTTAAAAACAAACTGTGAAACATTTGTTTATAAAATAAATACCCAAAACTGAAGTGTCCAAGAACACTGGCTTTTCCTCAAGTAACTCTTCAAATTCTTACAAATGCAAATTTTGTATTAAACAAAACTACTGGTTCTTGAAATTTTAGGAAGAACTTTTCCCCTTGAGATCAGTGATTGCATCTGTTGCTAATCCAAAGAAGGCCCTAAGACGTACATAACAAAAAGTAGAAATTATATCTCCAATTCAACTAGAAAATAGAGTTCAAATTCTTCTGGCTAAAATCTAATTCTTATTGTACATGGAAGAATCCAATTTCCAAAACAAAATCTGCATAAAAAAAGAATCCTGTTAAAAATATTTAAGTTTCTAGAATCATCACCTTAAATTGTTCAATTACCAATTAAAGAAATAAAAAAGTATTCTGTAGATTACTGCACTACAGAGACAGGAGGAAATAAACTGAAAATTAAGGTGACTTGCCAAAGGTAATATTAGATAAAAGTAAATCTAACCCTTGCTCTCAAGTTCTCAACCAGTCGTCTTCCTGTCTGACTTACCAGTGACTTAGAAACTTACAAAGTGAATCAGTCTTCTAATTTTTTTTAACTTTAGAGGATTGTTATATAAAAGTATAAAACAACCATTTCTATTGCAATACTTTTAACTTAAATATGAATCTATACTTTAACTTAAGCCAAGCAATCTCAGAACTATAACTCCTGGAAAAAACAAGAGCATAACCATACTAAAACAGAGACTACAACTTACGTGCAGAATGTAATAACTTTGGCATAAATAAGTCAAAGAACAAAATTTCTAGTCTTTGGTAGTGAGAACAGTCAATATGAATAATCTGGGAACCTAATTCTGACACTCTTTGCTATCAGGACAAGGAAACCAAAAATAGAAATAAAAACTGCTTCTCAGCAATACATATTTCTAATTGCTTCACATGAAAATGAGACATTTAGAATTCAATAAGCAGATCTCAAAAAGGCAAGCACAAAGGAACTCTGGCTCTCTGCAAGTTTCCACTGCTTTCTGTACGTTTGAAAATGTGTCCTTATACATTTAGAATATAAAAAGAACATTCCAAATGGTCTTTGTTGTTCCACATAGTATCAATGCTATTCCATACAAACAGATTTCAGATAAGCTAAAAGATATGTTTAAAACATAGTTAACAGGTAGTACCTTTGTGATGGTAGTACACATCATAAAAGGGACTTTTGTGACAACTGTTGGTAAGGTACAGGAGCCCTGGTGGTGCAGTGGTTAAAGTGCTCAGCTGCTAACTGAATCAGCAGTTTGAACCCATCAGCCACTTCGCTGGGGAGAAAAATGCTGCAGTCTGCTTCTGGAAAGATTTACAGCCTTGGAAACCCTATGGGGCAATTCTCTGTCCTACAGGGTCGCTATAAGTCAAAATCGACTCGACAAAAATGGGTTTTGTGTTGGTAAGGTCAGAGACAATACTCAGAACCTTCCTCAGACCTCCAATTCATTCATGATGGATCCTACCAACAGACGCTAAAGCCGGTTCTAAATATCTCTTAAAATGATAAGAATCAAAAACATATCACTGCATAAGATATTCTCTGCTTTTTTCAAATAATATTCCAAGAGGGGGACTCACTGCGAGCTAGCACTTGAGATAGAACAAATAGTTATCAAAAATTCTTTTCTTCACAGACCAAAAGATCCCTTGCGTGTGCTCCAAGAGAGATCAACCATCTGGAAAAAGACAAAATATTTTTAACAAGCTTTTTCCACTTTCAGCTGATGATGGCTTTTATATCATTTGTTCTATGTTGGAAACAGTTTTGCAACTCAGCATTTCCAGTGACAAGTTCATGTGTAAATCAATTAGTTATGAAAGAAAATGGTCTCCTTATTTAAGCTCCACTTGAATTTAAAACCAAAAAAACCAAACCTGTTGCCATCGAGTAGATTCCAACTCATAGCGACCTTGAATTTAAACCAACAGATTATCCACAAACTGACAGCTTCTGCTGAGTTCTTGGATATGCTGACAATAGTTAATCTGCCTTAACTGCTAGAAAAAAGCTAAGAAATTCTGCAGCAATCACTTTACATTCAAATGGCTTTAATGTATTTAGAGTATGGATCCGTGTTTCAACAGGCTTATAAATCATAAGAAATATTCTAGAGTTGATAGGTTCCTCTAAGTCCACTTCACATATGGGTAAAGCAAGCCAAAAAAATACGGCCAAGATAAGAAATTATATGTGCCAACAGGAATAGGAATAAAAGTCAGGCACCTTACACTTAAGCATCCTGCTCTACCAGACCACTTAGCACTAAAGCAAACAAAATCAAAAACCAAAGCAAACCCGTTACAATCGAGTTGATTCTGACTCAGAGCGACCCTACAGGACAGAGTAGAACTGCCCCCACAGGGTTTCCAAGGAGCCTCTGGTGGATTTGAACCGCCAGCCTTTTGGTGAGCAGCCAAGCTCTTAACCACTGCACCACCAGGGCTCCAACACCGGCAGTGACTTGCAATAAGCATCTTATGTCAAAGGAACATCACAACCCCCACTACACTGGGAATCTAGGACCAAGGCTGTTGATGAACTTTTCACTAGCAGTCACAAATCCCACCACCAAAAACTAATAAAAGCATAAAATTCCTCTTATTTAAAAGCTCTAATTTTTATCAACTCGTACTAGCAACATCCAGTATTAAAAGAAATTACCCTAAGACTTTCAGGCTATCATGAGAATTTCCCAGGCCTGCTTTAAGCCTTAAAGCTGATGTAACCAAGAGCATAACCATCAAGCTACCACAGACGTGACGCAGAAAAAAGTTCTAGACTGCTGCTCCACAATTCACTGAGAATTCATCTGTATAAGCAGGACCAAACACGTTACTACCACACTGACCAACTCTTGGCTTAAATAAACTTAATACTATTAAAAATAATAATCACCATCCACTCATTGCTTATCGTATGTCACGTATGAGCTAAGGACTTTAATTATTTCATGTAATCCGCACACTACCATCAGATTAGACCCATTTTATAGATGATAAAACTGAGGCTCAGAGAAGTTGACTTCCCCAAGGACACGGCCAGGAAGTACTCTAGCCCAGGTTTCAACTGCTTCCACTTTCCACTGCACCAGACTGATCTCACCCTTTTAGCCTGGGCTCTGCTTGCAAGTCCACATTAAATGGGAGGCGAGGAAAGGCCATTCCTTTCATAATTCACAGTTAAGACAATATTGTAGATGTCAGATGCCCTAAAACAGACTTTTTTTTTTTTTTTTAAGTAGAACAACAGAGAAGTTATTGTAAGGCAAATCTTCCTACACAGAAGGTGACTAATTGAACTACTTCACACAGAGGCAGCACACTTTCCATCATTACGAGTGAGAAGTCACGTTAGTTGAGAATTTAAAATTTTCAGTTTCCTCTTTAGGATAAAAATGAACTTCTAATCAGGTCACCACAGTAAAGAAATCTCTTCAAACCTTGGGGTTCTAGGGTTCATACATTCTTTTGGTAGGACTGGACACATTCAAAAGTAGAACTTCAATGGTCAAAACTGCAATTCTGGTAAGAAATTTCAGAGTTTCCAAAATATTCCAACTCTCAAACGTTCACACAAGCAGGTGGTTCCAGTACAACATGGGTAAGTCAAATTCACAGAAAATTACCAACTTCACCTTAAATAAGGGACTTAAATGAGGTTAACCTCTTTGCCTTCACTGTCCACGTATTGTTAATAGCTATAAAACAAAAAAAGGAAAAAAGCAGGGAGAAATACCCCAGAATCCTCAAATTACTGTGACTCTAGATAAACTAAAATTGAAGACTTTAAAAGTGCAAAGGAAACCCTTTGTTTTATGAACAAGGAAGGGCCCTTAAAGGTGAAACTGACTAGGTCGGTCCTGCAAAATGATTAAAAAGCACTAATCTTTGTGGCCAAATAAATCTTATTGCCTTAAATCGTGGTGCTTTAAATCTGCCACTCAGCAGCTGTGTAACCTTTGGCATGTAACTTAACTTCTCTGAGCCTCAGCTTCCTCATCTGCAAAATGGGAATAATCTTTATCTCACCAGGTTGCTGTAAAAATTATTTTAGACAATATTTAAAAGTGCTTGGCATGAAGCAATTACAGTTGTTACTATTTATTATCACATAAAGTCTTTGGAGAAGCTCTAACAAAAACTCAGATTCTGAAATCCAGTTCATGGTCTTCCAAAATTATCATATATTCTTAACAGTATCTGAAGGAGCCCTCGTGGCCCAGTGGTTAAAGCACTTGGCTGCTAACAGAAAATCGGCTTGAATCCACCAGCTGCTTCACAGGAGAAAGATGTGGCAGTCTGCTTCCGTAAAAGATTTACAGCCTTGGAAACCCTATGGAGTAGTTCGACTCTGTCCTACTAGGTAGCTATGGGTCGGAATCGACTCAATGGCAGTGGGTTTAGCCCTTTTTGCCTGTTTGAGCTATGGCCAGTCATTCGAAAACTTAGAACTGAGATAACTATATATATCAAACACAATCATCTATGAACAACCTAAGCGGTCTTCAACTGCCTGCTCTTAACAAGGCAGTTTGAATTGAAAAAAAGGACACTGAAGGTTTTGCCCAAGGCTGTGCTATCAAATAGGTGAATAACCTTTCATCAGCCATTTTATCTAACTGGGCTTTCAGGTTCATCATCCATAAGTATGAGAATTTTCTCTAAAACATTCAATAAAATGTTCAACAATAAGCTTCCTAAATAAAACAACACAAAACCAGACTCTCACCTTTGGCAAGTCACTTAACTACTCAAAAAAATTTTATTTCTTTGAGAAAAATGACAAACAAAAAAATAGACAACATTAAGGAATCACATATAACATGCTGTCTTTTCCATAAAAGGCTAAAATCATTGTACTATTATTGGAAGATTGAAATCTACACTCTCAATCCTGAAAATGGTTCTTCAGGTAACTCTGGGTCATATACTTAGCTGCTCATCACCTCTTCAGATACTAAATTGGTAGCTTACCTTGACCTCAAAAGTAACAGGTAAATGTACTAAAACACTTTAGTTTTAAACCCACTGGCTCACTTTCAAGGGAATGGTCATTAAGGATTCCCTGAAACATTCCAAGACCAAACTGGAGTGATGGTGATTTCTTCATGAACTCAAGAACCATGAACATAGTATGTGTCCTAGCTCTGTGATCTCTTCTGGCAAATTGTAGCTATATGTCTTCAATCTCTTTTTCCCTCTCTTTACAAGAGTTGTTATAACCCAACTGTTTGGGCTGCTGTCACTAAAGAGCAGAAAATGTTGATGCTGGAATAGTCCAATTTTTGGTGATCCAAAGAGCAGTACTTGCTGGATTCCTACCAAACACTCAAACAAAAAACTCAATATATTGACTTGAAATAACTGAAGTTTGCATTTAGAAAGCTTTGAGCCAATAAATGAAGATGAGATTCTTCTGGATTAGCAACAAATATTTCACTAATCTCAGTGCTTCAATACAAAGTTCAAGACTCATGCTGTGATACATCTCACTTCAGTGATACATCCCAAAAAGTAAAAAAAATTTATGGGGAAAGGATTTCCATACGAGTATCAAGTAATTCGTCATTGGTTACCTCTGTGGCACCTAAATACTTACGAATTTGTGTGCAGATATTCAAAAGTTAGCTGAGCTCGATTCAGACTGCTATAATTTGTGAAAGCCATGACTGCAGTGAGGTCTCCAGTCCTTTACCCACTGACTGTAAAGTCAAACCTTACAATGAAATAGATTTTCCAGGATTCCTTCCAGTAAAGGTTTGGTAAGTCTGTCCTCCTTAAAGACAGTTAAATGAAATTATCTAGTAGCTATCCAAAATATACTTAAAGAGATGTCTAAACCTACAATGATCTCTTCTTTAAAATTTTTTTTTAATCTTCTCAACGACTATGATGTAATATTTTGGAAAGAACTACGTCATAAATCTGTAGTCCTAAGGAGTTTTTAGCGTTAAATAGCGGTACTTCAGTTCCGATGAATGTAGGTGGTCCTGAAGTAGACAGATGGTCTTGGGGTTGGCGGTTTATTACTTCATCTTCATGTTGAGCCTTTTTGTTGCCGGTGTTGTTCCCCTAAATTTCCTAGAATCAGGCAACTGACAATCTAGAAATTCACTAATCCGGAAATTTACCAACTTCTGTCATAAAATCTGACAATCACCCATCTCTTCACCACCAGTGATCTCAGGATCCTCAAAAGGGCCCTAGAACGGCAAACACGACGTCGACGGAGTGCTTCACCACCTCCCAACTGAAAGGCCTCTTAAGCGCTGACAGACTTTTTTTCAAAGCCCGGACCAAACCCACTTTGTAATCTCGCCCCAGTTTTTTCAGGGTCCTGGGCAAAATTACCTCACACTAGCCCACTAAATCGCCTCAGAGTCGACCCGCCCAAATCACCACAGGCGGACCGCGCCCCTCCCCCACTTCCTTCAGAAGGCGGCCTCAGCCTCTCAGGACCTTCCCGGGCCTTGGTCCCGTGGCCTCCTCCTCACGAAGAGGAATCAGTTCAGACTTAAAGCCGAGATAGAGGGCAGTGGCGAGCGAAAAATCCGACCGGGCGTTGCCGGGCGCTCGCAGCTGCCTTTGTCCCTCCCCACGGAATTGGAACCCAACAACCGCAGCGCGCGCTTGGAACCATGTGCTGCTGCTGCCGCTGCCACCGCCGCCGCCGCCACCAGCCCGGCCGCCCGCGCGCCGCGCTGTATAAGAAGATGATGACAGGACACAGCGTCGCGAGTTCTGAGCTTAGGACTGCTCCGCCGCTGTCGCCGCCACCGCCACGGCCACCGCTTTGTCTCCGCCAGTGCACAGCTCCAGCCGCCTCGCGCACTCCGGGACGCCCAAAGCCCCCGAGGCCTCCGCGGCTCATTCGACCAATCAGAGAGCCGCAGCTCCTCCCGCCCCCGCCTTGATGCGCTGCTTCCTGATTGGCGGGCAACTCGCCCCCCATGTGACCGGATCTTGATGGCCAGGCCCGCCCCTATCACGTGAGTGCTCGCGCCTCTCTTCCTGCTTTTCTGACCCTCTCCGCCATTTAAAGAAACAGTACCGGGGGCGGGCCAAGCGACGCAGCCGGGACGGTAGCTGCGGCGCGGACCGGAGGAGCCATCTTGTCTCGTCGCCGGGGAGTCAGGCCCCTAACTCGAAGAAGCCCTGGCGCGCCCTCCCCCCCTCCCCGGTCTGGTAGGGCGAAGGAGCGGACGCGCGGTCGATCGAGCGATCGGTTGGCGGCTCTTCCTCCTGCTCTGGCATCCAGCTCTTGGGGCGCAGGCCCGGCCGCCGCGGCGCGCGCCCGGTGGCCGTTGGCGCTCGCGCCGCGTCTTTCTTCTTGTACGCAGAACTCGGGCGGCGGCCTATGCGTTTGCGATTCGACGAGGAGTCGTCCGGGTGGTCGGCGGCGGCGGGCAACTGCTCCGCCCTGCTCCCGGGGAGGCGGCGGCGGGATTTGGCGCGGCCGGGGAGGCGGGGGCGTCCGCAGCTGGCCTGGAGGCCTGGCGCCACACGTCGGGGTCTGCAGGGACCCAGTTGGGGGGGCAAGAGGAAGCTGGGGGATGGTTGGTGGTGGGCTTTCTGCTTTGCCTTTTTCTCCTTATGCCGCCTTAGTGAGGTGCCGGAGCTCTGGCGGCAGCTCCGGGGTGGGGAGACGAGCCCCGGAGTCGGAAGAGCTGGGTTTGCTTCCGGGCCTAGCCACTCGCTGGCCGAGTGACCTTAGGCAAGTCACTCTGTAATTTGCGCCTCAGTTTCCTCCTCTGCCTGTCAATGTTTGTGGGATTAAGAGCGTTGTTATACGTGAAAAATGATTATTTGTTTGTAAGGTTTTTTGAGTTGTAAGAAAACTTAGCAATTGCCCAGTCCTTGGATTCTTAACCTGGGAACCTTGGATTGGTGTTGGAGATCTCTAGACTCCCTGAAATTGTATGCAGAAATGTGTGGCAATGAGCATTTTTGGGGAGTGAGAATCCATGTCTGTCAAGGTTTCATTGGGGGCTGTGAGCCAATAAGAGTTAGGAACTACAATTCCTTTTTGCCACAGGGAGGAAACTGAGGCCTAGATGTCATTTGGGACACTTCACAACCAGTTTGAAGCCCGTTAGTCCCTGGGATATGTGAGCTGTTGCTATGCATAACGGATATTCGGGGTAACAGCACTTCCCAGCTTGGCTTTTGTTGAGTCTTTTTCTTTTACCGTGGGGTGCCTGTAGGGTGACTGATGTATAATGGTACAATGGCACCTAATACAAAGCAGCTCAGACTAGGAGTGGGTGTTTTCCCTACTATCAACAAATCTGTTTAATTGTTGGCCCAGCAGTTTTGTTTTCTGCTGCTTATACTGGTGCCTGACTACCTTTCTGAATCTTCCATTGACCACTTTCCACATCCGTGGTCGCCATCCGTGTACTTGCTCCCTATCCCTAGTCTGTGTGGTTGGTAGTGAGCAGGCTTATTTTTAAATGGGGCTGCTAAATCCAGCTAAGTAGTGGTGCACGTGGATTTTTAACAAGCAGCTCACTGGAGCAGGCAACTTGGCATGAGTGTGTTTGGGTTTTATTTTTTCCGTTGTATTGAAGGTTAACATTCTCTGAAACATTTTGTTCCTAGAACTCCTCCTGCTGAACCTCAGAATCAGTAGATTTGGAAGTGGTTCACAGCTTAACTTTTTCATGGCCTGCTTTGTATTTAATTGCTTGAAAGTGATACTAGGACGGCCAAAATGCCAGTTTTTGCTTTGTTAATTGTTAGCTGCTTTTATCAAATTCCAGACCATTATCAAACACTATAAAAATGTTCGATCAGTTGGATTTCAAACATTTTCTTATTGTGAAGTGGTGCTTACCAGTGGTACAGTTCTAAGTAAATGAGCAGAAATAAACAAGTTTAAATGTATTATGTCTGGTTAGGTGTTAGCCAGTCCTGGTAAAATTTCATACAAATGTTTGAAAAAATCTGTTGACTAGACCCTTTACCTAAAGGGCAAGACAAAATGTTCTACCTTCCAGAGAAATGACTGTTTTGGAGAAAAATGTACTGGTCTTTTAATTCTTTCGTAATTGAATCTGGATGTACCTCAAAAGAATCTTAAGACTGTGGTGACAAGATGGTTTCTTCAGGAGAAGGGAGTGAAAAAACAGCCAGAACTCGGTGCTTGAAATTCTGTGACAAAACATGAGATATCCAGGATTGAAGGTTGAAAGGGTTTCACTACATTATTCTTCACTAGCTAGAGCAAACTTCTTTCGATGTAGCCACAGATATGAAATCCAGCTTTCCAGATTTCCAAGAACTGGACCTTGGACTCGGGAGAGCTTGTCAGGATGGGGCAGGAACTCTGGAACCAGACGTTTATTTTTGAATTTTGGGACTCTTGACTTTGTTGTGAGAAAAGAGCCAACGATTGAGCAAGCACTGCCATGAACACTGTTACTGGAAACTAGAAGACCTGAGTTTCTATCCAGACCCTCGGTGCATACTCTGACAACACTCCATCCAAAGTGAACTACGGTACTTGCCATTTTCCAAAATGCCTTATTGACCATCTCTCACTTTCGCTTATGCTCTTTCCTCTACCCTGGAATGCCTTCCTCGGTTCTTTACCTGTCAAAACTCTGCCATTTCCTCAATATCCAACTTAGATGCTCTCCTTTTCATGAGTCTCTTAACTTCAGCCAGAAATAATCTTTTAAGTTTTATAACATGTTGTGTGTCTTTTATCTATCTTTGTGTACCATACCGTGTAAAATAGTTATTTGCGTGCATTTGATCTCTTTCCAGATAGCAAACCCCTTGAAAGCAAGGGCCTTGACTGATGCTTCTTTGCCCACACATACCACCACCCATGATGAAGCTTTTATTAAAAAGAAGGAGTTTAGAGAGCAGGCGATCTCAGAATAAGCACTCAGTAAGTGTTTGCTTAATCACTGTGTAATAACTGAAATTACTCTTGATTAGAAGAAAAGTCACTGGATGTGGGCCATGTTTCTTCCTTTATTTCCTATGTTATAATTTTTTCATTCCAAATTTGAAAAAGATCTAGGGAACCCCCAGCCATAAAAAGAAAGTGATGTATTGAATGGTGATCTGAAGAAGGGTGCAAGAACCTGGGCCATCCCTGGGTACCCTGTTCTCCGCCACATCAAGATGAAATCTTGTTAAAATGAAAGTTAAGGGCAGCTTTGAAGAGGACATGGTCACACAACAACTTGAGGAGGGTATTGGAAAAGGAAGAGGAGCAATATTACTTTTTGCTTTGTTGTTAAACTGTAAACTTAAAATGTCAGCTCTTGTGTCATCTATGGAGCCGCTCCCTTCTCCCCCACCAACTACTGCCTAGGGGCCTGAATATAACCAGTTTACCCCCAACCCTGCCCCAAAGTGTGAGGCTGGGGTGGTTACCTGTTTGCTACTTCTCTGAGACAATTTGTTCTCAGGAGGAAACAGTCTTTGCCAGAGGACTCTTTTTCTTCTCATCAGAAATTGTTAACGAGGCTTGCTTTCTTTTTTTTTTTTTCCTTCATTTATGGTTTTTCAGCCTCTAAGCCATGCTTGTTGAGAGTTAGTACTCGTTAGGCAGCTGATGTCCGTGTTTGTAATTCCATGCATTTGTTATCTTACCTGCTTTGTCCCTGCCCTTTCTAGTCCTGTGCCTCCTGACTGCCGTGTTCACCTGGACCTTCTGACCACCTTCCTTGTACTGTTCCATCAGTCTACAGAACTGGTACCTGGATTTTTGCCCATGGTGATTCTCCTACCACCTCACTACTGAAGAAGGCACCATTCCAGTGGACCACTATGACCCAAGAGGCATTCAGCCATCATGATGTGCCCTTTACCTCCACTTCTGTCCTCTCCTACCCAGCCCTTTATAGTGAAGTCAGAGTCCTCAAGCCAAATACACAACAAAGGCTCAGTTTGTTCCATGAGTATACATTTTGTTTCTTCAAAAGTCTTCAGAGACACACAATGGAATTTGGACCAGTTATCACCACTGTCCGAAGAATGGCAACATCTCTCTGAGAACAGTATTGGACCACACCCACACAATCTCAAATGATTGAGGTTCATGAAGTGTCTACCATCCCATCAAGGTCATTGGGGCCTGTTCTTTTTCTACTTCAAATCTGTAGTAGCCTACTGAGTGACAGAGCAGGTATTCTGACCCATTGGGATCCAAACAAAGACACTGAACTTTTCATAGCATTTTCTATGGGATTACTCAGGAACCAGAACTTTTCACACAAACGTAAGAAATTCTACCAAGGAACCCCTTTACGTAGCAGCATCTCACAAAGCTCCAATCAGATCCAGAAAGACCTCTTGATATATCCAGGTAGAACCTATACGGTAATCCCTTATGTTTATATAGCACTTTACAGTTTTAGGGCACTTTTGCATGTATTTGTCTCATTTAAATTATCAAAATAACAATAAGTATTAATCCCTTTTTCCTAATGAGAAAATAGAAATTTAAAAGGTTATGCACCTTATCCAAGGTGATACAACTACAAAATGGTAGAGGCCAGGCCTTCTGACTCCCAGTCCAGTGCTCTCCTTGCAATTATACTTGCCTTTCACTCTACCTTCAGTGTTAAAATGGCTGGAGATTGGGAACCCCAGAAAAGTTTCCAAGTTGTGGAGCTTCCTAATCTGTTGTCCTCGATCAGGCAAGGCATCATAAATGCTATGTAATCTTGCGATGGCTGCATCTAGACGAAAATCCCATGGCAACACCCCTAAGGTTTGGGAGCAGACTGTCTCCATGGTGGTAGATTGTTCAGTCAACAGGGCACATGTTCATATGACAACA